TTACATATGTGTAGGGAGGCCAAGGTCCAGCCTGTATATGTTCTTTGGCTGGTGGTTCAGTCTCTGAGAGCCCCAAGGGTCCTGGCTAGTTGATTCTGTTGATCTTTCTATGGAGTTCCTATCCCCATCGGGGCCTGAAATTCTTCCTGCCATTCTTCCTTAAGAGTCCACAAGCTCCATGCAATGTTTGGCTGTGGGTGTCTGCATCTGTCTGAGTCAGCTACTGGGTGGAGCCTCAGAGGACAGCATGCTCCTGTCTGCAAGCATAACTGAGTATTATTAATAGTGCCAGGGACTACTACTTGCCCATGGGATGAGTCTCAGGTTGGGCCAGTTATTGGTTGGTCATTCCGTCAGTCTCTTCTCCCTCCCTCATGCCTGCCTGCCTTGTAGATAGGATAAATTTGGGGTTGAATGTTTTGTGAGTTAGTTGGCATCTTTATTGCTCCACTGGGGTTCCTACCTGGCTACAGTAGGTGGTGGCCTCTTCAGATTCCATATCCCCAATATAGTGAGTCACAGCTAAGGTCACCCACATGATTCTTGGGCTCCTTGCTTATCCCAGGTCTCTGACTCCTCCTCACACCTCCTCACCCCCATCAATTGCAGATTTCCATTCATTTTCATAGCCATCATGTTTCCACTGTATGGCTTTGGCCTCCTTATCAAAACTCAAGCATCCATAGGTGTGTGGAATTATTTCTGGGTCTTCAGTTTGATTCCATTGATCAACGTCTCTGTTTCTGTACCAATACCATGCACTTTTTATCACTACTACTCTATAGTACAGCTTGAGGTCAGGGACAGTGCTTCCTCCCAAACTTCTTTTACTGTCTGGGCTTGTTCTGGCTATCCTGAGTTGTTTGTTTTTCCGTATGAAGTTGAGACTTACTCTTTCAAGGTCTATTAAAAAAATGTGTTGGAATTTTGATGGGGATTGCATTGAATCTGTAGATTGCTTTTTGTAAGGTGGCCATTTTCATTATCTTAATCCCACCTATCCATGGGCATGAGAGATCTTTCCATCTTCTGATATCTTCTTCAATTTCTTTCTTCAGGGACTTGAAGTTCTTGTTGTACAGATCTCGCTTGGTTAAAGTTAAAACAAGATATTTTATATTATTGGTGGCTATTGTAAAGGGGTTGTTTCCCTAATTTCTTTTTGGCCTGTATATCATTTGTATAAAGCAGGGCTTCTGATTTCTTTGAGTTAATTTTGTATCCAGCCACTTTGCTGAAGGTGTTTATCAGCCATAGTTTACCAGTTCTCTGGTAGAATTTTTGGAGTTGCTTATGTATACTGTCATATCACCTGCAAATAGCAATACTTTGACTTTTTCCTTTCTAATTTGGATCCCCTTGACCTTTAGTTGTCTTACTGCTCTGGCTAGAACTTCAGGTACTATGCTGAATAGATAGAGAGTGGGCAGCCTTGTCTTATTCCTGATTTTAGTAGAATTGCTTCAAGTTTCTCTCCATTTGGTTTGGTGTTTGCTATTAGCTTGCTGTATATTGCTTTGATTATGTTTAATTATGTGCCCTGTATCCCTGATTTCCCTTTAACATGAAGGGATGTTGGATTTTATCAAAGGCTTTTTCAGCATCTAATGAGATAGTCATGTGATTTTTTTTTTCTCCACAGAAAATGTTTAAGTGAGAAAGAACATGGTTATTGGTAGAGCTTGTCCTGCTCCTTTACCTTTGTCTTGCCTTCTGTTTTTCCTTGTGAGACTCATAGTTGAGCCTAGGGTTCCTGCATGCTAGGCTAATGCTGCACCACTAAGCCGCACCTTTACCCCTTTTAAACTTTGAGGGATGGTCCTCTTGTTCAGTGCTGGATGGAGTTTGTGGTTCTATCTCAGCCTCCTAGCTGAGGGTACAGGCTTGTTTCACCATGCCTAGCCTGATAGAATTTTGTAAAAAGCACATAATGTTTATCTGGTAATGTTTTTATTATTATTCCTTGTTAGCAAGTTGCCTGGGCCAACTGAGCATCGTCATCCCAAGAAAGAATTCTTTCTTATGAAAATTTACCTTAGAATTCATCATAGATCTAAGTGGAAAACAATAAGCAAGAAAATCCTTACCAGCCAGTTGAAGACAGTTCTAAGAGCATCAGAAACACTTAGAAAAAAAATGATGAATTGGTTTTCATCAAGTTATAAACCTTTGTTCTATGAATGATAAAACATAAACAAGATGCAGAGGTGACAACTGAGCATGTGAGCCAGGTTCCCAGGGTCATTACATAGTCAAGAAATGCAAGATAGAGTCACAGCAAGAGGTTGGTCTATGTCCTTCAGCTGCCGTAGGTGAAATGGCAACAGTGCCCTGTGGTCACAAGCCTGCAGACCAGCCGTAGTCTTGATAGCACTCCAATACAGTCGGATGTAGTACTGACCAAGCTCTAGAGACTAAACTTCACATAGAAACCTATGCACGTGTATTTGTCATAGCATTGTTCCTGACCACCAAGATCCTGATAGAATCCAAATGTCCTTAACGAGACAAATGAATAGTTTTCTGTGGTATGAGTGTGTGTGTGTGTGTGTGTGTGTGTGGCATAGGATCAACAAACACATGAGTGGTTGCCAAGGATTAGGGGGAAGGGAAGGTCCAACTGCAGAGAGGTGCAGGAGATCCCACCTGGTTTGCAGAGGTGGTAAGAAAACAGATCTTTAGTAAGTTTAAGACCAGCCCTGCTACGTGCTGAGATTCTCAAAACAAACAAAAAGTTACAGAACTTGAGCTTTAAAAGAAAAATATCTATTGTGTTTCAGTTTTTTAAAATAATAAACTTAGCTTGTGCATTTGTCAGAGGGTGGTCACAATTTATTGTTTGTGTGTGTGTTTCATTATCTAAAAGTAAAGCATTGTAAACAAACAAGTTTGGAGGGTAGAAGAGACACACTTAGTGTTCCAGTTAGGAAAATTACAGCCTGAAATGAAAATAGATCAACTTACTGAGCAGTCTTCTTGCAGATTGCCACTGTCTACTCTGACAATTTAGAGCTCAAAATTCTTTTTTTCCTCTTGTCTCATGACAAGGGGAAAATTCAGGTCAGGAAAGAGCCTGTCTTAAGTAGTCTCAATTTGTCATGTTTAGGATTTACTCATTCATTATCTATTCCTTGACTAGCAGTTCTCAGAGTCTTGGCAGCTTGTAAGACAAACCAGCACCATTATCTCAGGCAGTTTGAACATTCGGAGTCTGTGGCTTGAATTTTCTACTTCAGCACTTTGCTTTGGAGTGACAGAGGATGATGTCAGAAGAAATGTAAATTGATCTCTCAGTGTTTATCTGTGGTGTATGTGCAATTACTTCTGCACCAGAGAACCTCGGCAAGGCTTTCTGTCAATACTGCTACCTGACAGTCATTTGTATTTGTAAACTGTGCATTTGGCACCTGCTGGTCTCTATTGTGCTGAAGCTCGTGGGGAGCCAACATGCTGTACAATAAAGTTATTGGTAGGTACAGCTCAGTGGGAGTTATTGAAGGGGGTTGGGGAGAACAGCATTTCCAAGACCTCAGGAAAGAATTTAAAAAGAAAAAAATAGAAACTGGTAATATTTACAGACTAGCTGTTCTTGCCTATGAAAACAAAATAAAAACAAAAATATGTAAAAAGTCAGGCTGTTGTACCCAAGGAACTAAAATTTGTATGGAAGTTCATTTTAGAATCTTTCTTGTTTGTTTGTTTGTTTGTTTGTTTGTTTGTTTTTAAAAGTATGTGTGCTCTATCTGCATATATGCCTCCATGCCAGAAGAGGGCATCAGATCCTAGTATGAACCTCCAAGTGGTTTGCTGGGAATTGAACTCAGTATCTCTGAAAGCTACAGACAGTGCTCTTAACCGATGAGCCATCTCTCCACCCGGAAGTGCATTTTAATTTTTGTAATACATATAAAAAAAGAATAGCTTTCTATTTGAAGTATATAATAAATGTTCTGAAGCACCAAAATCTCTGTAGGCAAATGAAAACATTCAATTTCTCAAGAAATATAAGCTGAAATTCAGCTATTAGTCATCAAAATAGCAAATCAACTTCAGTTTTATTCTTAAATCATGTTGACAATGACTTTAGAATGCAAATAAATGAGTAGCAAAAATTGATTGGCCTTGTAGGTATTATTTGTTCCTATTTTATTGGCTACAACTCAATGACATGATTCCAGAGAAATGTACTTTGTGTCTTGCTCAGCATAGTCTGGACCACCTCGGGAGATGACTCTACGGCAGGTTAGAGCTTTTGAGAATCCACAGGCTCTTTCAGAATTCAAATGCCATGAGACACTGAGTGTGCTTTCTAGTGTTCTAGCTCTAAAACTGAATACTCTTAAGTGATTTCCTCTAATATTTTCCCCGTTGAACTTTAGTGTTTTTAGTGTGATTTTTCTAGGATGTAAGGTTTTTGTTTTATGTATATATGTGTGTGCCAGTAAAAATGTATGAATTATTACACACACACACACACACACACACACACACACACACACACACACATCCCATGTAAGTATCTACCAATAAAGATAGTAAAACACATTGGAGATACAGCATCTTGAAAGCATTACCTCTGTTAATGGTAAGTATAGAAAAATTTCAGTGAAGCAAATGCAATAATTAGAACATTAGTGCTGAAGAAGTAGTTCAGCAGTTAAGAGCCCTTGCTGCTCTTTCAGAGGACCCAGGTTTGGTTTCCAGCACCTACCTGATGGCTCATCCTACCATCTATAACTCTTAGTTGCAGGAGATACAATGCTTTTTCTGGCCTCTGCAGATATTAGCCACTAGTATCAGTATGTATATGTAGGTACTCAACATAAAATAAAAACTAAAAAAATTAGAGCACAAAATGTATATCTAGTTGCCTGTAATAGCTTTGGTAGGATTGGTAGGATTATAGTGAAATATTTCTTTACAGCACTATGAAGTTAGTAAAGTAGAGGTCAGCCTGTTTTGGCAGTTGAATCTAAATAATTATTTGCCTTTGGTTTTAGAATTCCTGGAAAACTCAAGCAGTTTGTATTTGACCTACATTCTGGAAAACTACACAGAGAATTCCATCACGGACCTGACCCAACTGATACAGCCCCAGGAGAGGTAGGACTCATGTGTTTCCTAGTGGGGACTCTTCTATTGAGATAGATAGTGTCAGAGGGGACCTGAGCTAGAGTTTCAATTCCTGATACCTCTCTGTAGAAATTCTGAATTGACTACGACATATTTAGGTTATGTTCCTTTAAAGTTACTTCTTAAAATGTCAGGCCTCCAGAAAGGTTATAAAGTGCTGTGTCTGGTTCCTAATCATCTAAACTGGGGTGTCTGGGTATGATTCTGTGGAACGTAGCTATACAGGCACTATACAAGCCAATAGTGTTGGCTTCAGATAGAAGTAAGAAAGTAGGACTTGGGAAGAGTAATTGAGAAAGCAAATCAGTTGATTCCAGTTCAAGCTTGCTTTTGTGGCTGAATCGTACCCTCACTATACAAAAGCAGTGCTTTGTTATCTTACTCATCCATACTAAGAACCTTTACGGATGCAGTATTGAGAATGTTCAAACCTAGCCGGGTGGTGGTGGCGCACGCTTTTAATCCCAGCACTTGGGATGCAGAGGCAGGCGGATTTCTGAGTTGGAGAGTTCGAGGCTAGCCTGGTCTACAGAGTGAGTTCCAAGACAGCCAGGGCTACTCAGAGAAACCCTGTCTTGAAAGAAAAAAAAAAAGAAAGAGAGAGAATGTTCATACCATAGGATTCAGTATAGCTTTCCCATTTGATATTTGAATGTTTGACAACTGTTTATCAATATTTTATATTCGCTTTTAGTCACATATATATTCTCAATTAACATGTTATATAGATTGATGAGTAGATAGGTCTCAGAATGAACAGATAGATGGGCTTTAAAGTCTGAGAGTTTAGTAATTTCTATGTCTCTGCTCTATGAGTCATAAATTTGCATTTTGATGTATTATTATTTATAAAGTCTATGACCATGAAACTATAAGAAGGAGATGGTATACATTAAACCCCTTCTTGTTTTATATGATAGGACTTCAGGCTGTTACTTTGTCCAAAGAATGTCGTTTTTTGAAAGAAAAAGAGAAAGTGAATTTTTCCTTACCTTATTTAGGAGTCAGATTAGGTTCAAAGTCAAGAGTTCTCTTGAGACTCTGATAATATACTTTATTTGAGAAATGATCATTAAAGCTTACTGTTAAAGTGGGGAGCTTGGCTAACGACAGTATTCCATAGGTAGTTATGTTCTTCAGCACACAGAGCTGTTCAGGACTCTGAGCAGTGGTTCCAACCTGCCTAGTACTTCAGCCCCTTAACACAGTTCCTCATGCTGTGGTGACCCCCAACTATAAAATGATTTTTGTTGCTACTTTATAGCTGTAATTGTTCTACTGTTACTAATTTTAATGTAAATACCTAATATGCAGATGATCTTAGGTGACTCCTGGGAAAGGGTCATTCAACCCTCAGGGTGATCGAGACCCACAGGCCAAGAACCACTGCTTTATACAATCAGGAAAAAAAAATCTAGTTTCCTTATTGCAGTGTCCTGATTTATTTTCCTTTCTCCCTTAGACAGTAGACTCCATACATTTATTTATCCATATTTTTGTACTATACCAGCTGGGTACAAGGTACATATTTATAGTAATATAATTTCAGCTTGATCATGTTTCTGAGCAGAAAGTAACTTTCTGAGGAAATGAAGCCTGACAAAGTCAAATAGGTAAAAACACCTGTAAGCTTCTCTTCTCATGGGCACTAATCTATGTTAGAATGTGTGCACATGTCCTGTCCACTGTAGGGACTGTTATGTAGCAAAGGTGAGCTTGCTCTTGAGACACTTGCAGAAAATAAAGTACAGGCCATGCTGCCTTTCCTTCAGAACTCACGGACATCTGCATAGTTTCACTGCGTGATTGTCTCATGTTGGCATAGAAGTATTACCGAAGTTCATGATGGTGTTGTTTCCCTCATCTCAGCCAGGTTCGACTGATTCCTGGCACCGAGATCGTAGATGAAAGCAGCCTCTTTAACAGAGTAGGGACATTCATATCAACGCCGTCCCTCTCAGCAGTCATTTGTAAAAGTGAAGGGTTAAGACCAAACTAGGTTGTGCTGTCTCTATGGAGTTCTCTAGGAGACAGTGAGTGTTTAGTGTTGTTTTCTTCCACATTGCCTCAGGAACTGTGACAGGCCCAGTCAGTGGTGCTGTGGCAGCCGTGCCCTGGACAATAAGTCCAGGGATATTTGAAGTGAAGAAACAAGATAAACTTACTTTTCACCTTGACATATATTTTTCCCCTTTTATTTATTAACAGATAAGTAATTTTAAGGCCACTACCAGTTATGTAATAGTAAAATATGAAAACTCCATAAAACATTTTGGTATCAAGATTCTTTTCTTCTTTTGTAGCAGGACCAGGATTTAGCGAGCAGTCCTCCAGAGAGCTCCTTCCAGAAGCTGGCGCCCAGCGAGTATAGGTATACTCTCCTGAGGGATCGAGATGAGCTGTAACCTCAAGAGCATGCGAGCCTTGCAGCAGCAGAGGCTCACATGCTGGAATAGGAACCCTATATTTTCATAATTCTATGTGTATTTTTATTTTGAATAAACTGAAAGAAGTTTTGGGTTTTTAATTTTTTTTCCTCCCCCTGACTCAAATGCACTGTCATTTAATGCAGCCTCTTTTTAAAAGATCTACTAGGGTTTTAAAGAATAAAATCAAACCAGAGGCCTGTCTCCACTTTAAATCTGTCCTGTACAGTCTTATAATGCAAGCAGAAGGTGACATTGCCAGAAGCACAGCATTGACTCACACCACCACTGCACAGGCAAGGGAATCGGCCTGGTTCCCGTGTGGGATCTGCTTTTTCTTTCTTCTTTTCTTTGCATATGATCAAATTCTACTGGTATTTTTATTATCACATTTCTAAAAGCTAAGGGGATATATATTCTAGAGGCTTGGGAGGGAAATAAAACTTTTCATACTGTGTACTGTGTTGTACTGATTGGTCAGGCATTGCTTAGGAGAGTTCCATCGTGGTTCTTCTTGGATTCCTAATATGTAACTTAAACACACTATGAAGGGGAGAGCCATAAGCTAGAGCATTTGGAAAAGAAATGGAAGGATTATCAAATTTCTATATGTTTATCTGAGACAGCAGCATATGGATAGCTTTTAAAACTTTGAATGAATTAACCCTGAAATCAGGAAAGCGGGGACTCTGGTGGAGCAGGTTACTAGCGTTAAACTAGAAACTTTAAGGCTCTCTCTGTCTAGAAATTTTAATTTTCAAAGAAAAACTGTATTTCAATTATTGTAAGCCTCCTCCTGTCTTTTGTAGTTTTGTTATAGTTCTGTAGATCAAACGCAAAGATGTTAAGGAAAGCATTTTACATTCTTCTGTCAACTGTTGAGGATTGTGGGAGGCTTTCCCCTCGCTCCCCTGGTTTCCCGAGCCTGCAGTGGGCAGTCAGAAGGCCCCCAGGCCTTACTGCTGCCATGGATATGAGCAGAGGGAGAAGACTCTCCACTTCCTATCAGGAATCCCGGTGCCAGAGGGCAGACAGGCTCTAACTTGGCTTTCCTCAGGGCCTGGGTGTGGTGCTATAGGCCAAGGGTCATTTATCCTTGGGATAAGTCAGTCCCAGTTTGGGGAGATATTTTTAAGCTTAAAAGGTTGACATGTGCCATTATATGTAGTGTGTAATATATGTAACACCTTTCAATCCTTTTAAAATAAAATGAATATTTATAATGGATATTTAATAACTGTTATTTTTAAAAATCAGCTTCTAGTTCTTAATTATGCATGACTTTGTCCGTAGTTTCTGTAGTTTTATTCAGAATAATAAATATTAATGAGGTGATAAGGGGCATGTTTAGAATGTGTCACCAGATTGTGAGTGGAGAACTAGGACAGAGCTTTCTGAAGCTGGCCTTCATCTGCCATCCGATTGCTTTTACTCAGAGTCTTGAATATGATCACAGTTTTTGTTTTCATGACCAAATCTGAGAGGCTCAAGATAAAAACTCAGTTACATAGCACGCTCACATACGAGATCAAAAACCGTTCAGAAAAAAAAAATCACCTGTAATAAATTTGTGATCCTGTAATTAGGTTTGAAAAATAATAAAAGGTATCACTCAAATATTAGGCTACAGACAGCTAACTAAAAACAGTTATTAGAAAAAAGACCAAAGGGGCACATCTTCAGTGTGGTCTAAAATGACAGCCAGGCTGTTTAAAATGAAAGACGTAGTGTGTGAGGTAGCTTTCGTGCAGATTGGAACTTAGCCCCCTACTCCTGCTAATGTCTTCTCTGGATGCTGAAGCCATTAAGGACAGTGGTGCTGAGCCTTGTGTCTATTTGTAGTGGCCACCAGCTTGGACACTGACGTGGTCATCTTCACTTGTTATTGAAAGAATTAGAAACAAAGTGGCCTTGAGGAGTTTTTATGCCACTGAAAGTGCTTAGACCTCTACAGGACTTGATGGCAGTTTATAAAAAGTTCTTCACAAGCTCAAGGGCACTCCAAGAAAAGAGAATAGTAAAATGTTTTAAATCATGAGTATCAAGACTGTTTTTAGCCAGGCATGGTGGTACATACTTAAAAGCCCTCAGAAGACAGAGGCAGAGGGATCTCTTGAGTTCCAGGACAGCCAGGGCTATATAGTAAGACCCTTTCTCAAACAAAAACGTTTTCTTAGAGAAAATCTGGGTCCAAGAGCAGTCTATATTTGAAGGGTTGACATTGTCTGTATACCAGGGGCTGAATTAGAATTTGAGCATGTCATTGGGGAGCAGCTATCAGTTGACAGCTACTCAAAGTAAGGTTCTTGGTGCTATAACTTTTTACCTAGAGTTGCTTATAAGTCGTTAGGTCAGTGACCTCGTAGAACATCGCTGTAACAAGCTATTGCACATTAAACAGGAAATAGAGGCAATGTGCTTGGCATAGAAACACGGAGTTCCAAAAATCCTATTGAGAAAATTCTGCTGCAGTTTTAAAAGATGAACACCTGAAAGGAGATAGGATTTGGCGTGGATATAGTAATCTGAATGTAGGTAGTAAACTCCATGATGAACTGGGAAAAAGTACTTGTAGAAAGACCAACTCACTGGAGGCTCAGGATACCAAGGAAGGGATTTACACTGTTTTGTAGGTCCTCAGCATCTGTATTTGAGAGTAGTACTTAGAAGTAGGTCTCAGACTTAAGAGTTCAGCTGAACCATGTCAGCGCTACAGAAGTTAACTCACTCAGTCTGTGCTGAGCCTCAGGCTTCTCTGCTGTAGCTAGAGAGGCTGCCCAATTGCTCTGAAGAATGCTTGAATAACTCGAGAACCAGAAGCTAGAGAGACTTCCTGCTTCTCTGCCAGAATGATGAAGCAGGACATCCACTGTCCTGTGGCATCCAGGACAGTGTGTGATAACCCTCAGGCATGACAGGTTATCTAAAACATTTACGTGAGTATATAAGGTAGAGAATGAACATCTAAAGTGTCTCACAGAGAGCTTACTGATGAAGTCAGTTTGTCAGGGATCTTGTGCTACCAGGAAGCATGCAATACAAAACAGTGTCTGGGGGGCTGGAGAGATGGCTCAGTAGTTAAGAGCATTGGCTGCTCTTCCAGAGGACAAGGTTCAAATCCCAGCACCCCAGTTCATAACTGTCTATAAGTCAAGTTCCAGTGGATCGGATTCCCACACACAGATATACATATAGGCCAAACATCAAATGTACATAAGAAAAAACGTGTTTGAAATGGAATGCTCAGAAAGAACTCATGAGATCGTGCTGATGTTGCCCAGCAGGCTTCCTTTTTAAAAATGCACCAAGGTGAAAGGAGTGGGTAATGGAACAGAACAACTCATTGTTTTTTCTTGACAAATACAATCTGCTTACCCAAAAGTAAAAAATGACATAAAATTTAAAACATGCATATCCACACAAACAAAAACTTGGCCACCTTAAATTATTAAAGCTGTTCATCCCATACTGTGTCACACAGCAGTGCTCTCTGTTAAAACTGTTGGACAGTCTGGGAAACCACGGAGGATACATGGTTAATTGGGCACAGTATTCCAGTTTCAGAATGATTGTAGTTCATGGATTTAGCTATTCTGCTGAATAAAGCCTTGTGAACAAAGTGAAATGCCCGTGGTCTGTGCTGGAGAAGATTTAGGGAGCTTTGAAAGCAGATGAGAGCCTGAGGAAAAGCTGTTTCAGAACTGGAGCTGCCCACTGCTGCCAATAACTGAGTTATGTATTCATTAAACAGCCTGGGTAGGACCTCTGCTTAGCAACTTTTTTAGCTGTGTTTGAAATTTTGTATGTATTTCCAAGTAATAAAACTATATTTGTAAAATATTTCTATATTTGAGACTTTTTACTAATTGCATAAATATTGTTTTATGAATGTTTTACCTGGAATCTTAGTGATCAGAGCCACTAGCTTTTCCAGGTGTAATGTTATTTTTCAGACCCTGTCATTGTGCTTCATTTGGCTTGGAATGGGGACTTACGTGTTTATGTGCAGAGAACTCAAAACCCGCCTTTGCAGTGTCCAAGTGTTCTCTAGAACACTGGGCATGACAGGAGTATCCATAGACTGTGGGCAATTGGACTCGAATAGTGCTGCTTCAAGTTGCTTCTCTAAAGTCTCACCCCCACCTCGTCTAGCAAATTCTATTATTCAATGTGTAGTAGGACAAGTGTCACCTTGTCCTTCACAGTCTGTTTACACAAGTTAGAGTCATCTGGGAAGAGGATCTGAAACGGCACCTCTATCAGATTGGCTTGTAGGCATGCCTGTGGAGCTTTCTTCATTAACAATTGATGTGGGAGGGCCCAGCTCACTATGGGTGGTTCCACCCTTGGCCTGTACTCCTTTGTTGTATGAGAAGGCAAGGCAGTAAGCAGCACTGCCTCATTGATTCAGTTCCTGCCTTCTAGTTTCTGTTTCTGTTTCCCTTCATAATGGACTGTAAACTAAAAGCTAAAATACATAAATCCTTCCCTCCCCAAGTTGCTTTTACTTGTGTTTTGTCACAGCAATAGGAAGCAAGCTAAAACATATCCCCGCATTCACATGGTCTTGTGTAGGAGTGCCATCTTTCTAGTCCAGCTACACAGTATACTAGAAGAACGCAGATACTAGATACAGTATACTAGAGTCGCTGATGAGAAAAAGAAAAGCTAAACTACAGAGCAAGTAAGTGAACAAAGGAGTTAGGACAAGAAATCGTCCCTATAACTGGAATGGATTTCGTTAACAAATCTGCATATCTCAGTGATCTGATTTTATCAGTTGCAAATATCCTACAAATGAACCCATCACCTTCAGTTCTACCTGTTAAGCCAGCCTTGAGCTCCAAAGACTACGAAAAAAATAAAGGTTCACAGTGGCAACCAGGCTAGAAATGTGTAACTCTCAGAACAGTTGCTGTCTTTGACAACACAGTCTTGGGTACTGGGAACTTTTGCCTGATTCCTCATTTTCCATAAGTTAGACCTGACTCCACTTAAGTCAGCCGTCTTTTAGGCAGTAATGACGGCAATGCTGTGAGTGGCACCATGTCATTCCAGTAAGCATACGGTTTCCAGACTAAAGATAGATATTTAACAAGATACCCACTTCCACTGTGAAGCTAAAAGTAAGGGACAAAATAGCAAAAAGATGATTCTTGTTACAAGGAAAAGAGTGACCTTAGACCAGGCACAGAAAGCCACATGCATACCTACCTATATTAGGGTCCTTTTCTCCAGGAAAATTAGTATTAACAGGAGCTGTTGACCATTTCTTATTATAATGATAATTATTGCCAGGTATTTACTGACCTGTTGTTTCTTCAAATTCATCCACTTATAGCAGAGATCACCCACATGCCCTTATGTGATGGGTCCTGTAATTTTACTAAGGAGGACAGATGTGAAGAAGTTGTATGCCTACTCTTGGTGCCCTATGGTAAACTCACCTAGGCAGGAATAAACTTTTTTTGGAAGACTGGTGCTTTTTTTTTTTTTTTGCTATAATCACTACCCAGGAAGACGAGTGAAACATGGCATCCCTGGTGACACACAGGAAAGGGGGGCGTGTGCATCATGAATCTGATGTTCTGATTTAAGACCAGCCATGACAGAAATCCCATAATACTCAAAGGAAGATAGTCCCTGGTTATTTGAGACTGGACAGGAGCATAAGTAACAATTTTGCCAAAAAATAGCTGTAAATGAAGATCTGGAATCACTCTGTTCTAAGCAGACATCATTTTTGTATTTGCGTATCATTCTCAAAGATAAATGACTATCAGTCATCAGCTCCCTTTCTGAACAACTGTGTCCTTTAATATCATGTTATGAATCATTGGTGGTTTCCAATGAAGTTCAGAAAATCACTAGAATATACCTTAAAAATGGATATGCCACAGAAGATGAAGCAGATGAATTTCTAGATGCATATATCTCAAACCACAATAAGATAAACATATCCACAAACAGCAAGAGGGAAATGATAATTAAAAAAAAAAAATCCCTAACCTGAGGAAGCTGACCTCTATTTAAAAAAAAAAAAAATGCTCTAAAATCTTTAAGAGAAGGCCAGGAGTAGTGGTTCAGGCCTTAAGTCTGGGAGGCAGAGACAAGTGCATATCTGCATGTTCAAAGACAGCCTGGTCTACATGGCAAGTTTCAGGCCCATCAGGGATGCACAGTGAAACCCTGTCTCAAAAATCCAAACCAAGAAAAGAAAAATTGAGGATGGCACTAGAAACTGAAACTCTCCCATGGTCATGAATGGAAGAATCAATGTCGAGAGAATAGCTGCCTAGCAACATGTAAATGCACAGATTTAATGCAGCCGCTGTCAAAATAGTAATGCCAGCCTTCACAGAAATGGAGCGGAGCGGATCTTAAAATTCATTTAATGTCAGACAACAGTAGTCAAAGAAATCCTGGAAAGGGAATCCTGCAAGTATCATTGTAGCTGATTTCAAGTTATACTGCAGAGCTGTTCTGATAAAAGCAGCATGACACTGCCTTAAAGATACGTAGATAATCAGTGGAATTGAGATATAAAGCCATTCTGCCACAGCCAAAGGATTGATGCCAAGGAGGCCAAAAATGCTCATTGGAGAAAAGACAGACTAACAAATGGCGCTGAGAAAGCTGGCTATGTACAAGTAGAAGGATGAACCTAGATCCTTCTCTCTCATCCTGTACAGATTCAACTCCAAATGGATCAGAGACCTTAATATAAAACCAGAAATTTTAACTGCTCGAGGCAAAGGTAGGGAGTATACTTCATGGTGCAGCCATAGGTAAGGTGACACTTGTTTTCCCAAACAGAGCACCAATCTCTCAGCAGATGAGGACAACTACAGACAAAAAGGACCTCATGAAATTATAAACCTTTTTGTACAGCAAATGAAATAGTTAACTGAAGGCATGGCCTACAGAAAGGGTCAGCTGTATATCTGACAAAATTTTCTTTTCCAGTGCTGAGAAAAAGGTTTTATGCCTGCTAGGCAGATGCTCTACCACTGAGCCATGGTCCCATCCTGACAGGATTAACATATATAATATACAAAGATCTCAAAGGCCTCATAGCTAGTTAATAGGAAATGGGCTAAGGAGACTGTGGAGTTCTACAAACGGGCAGTAACTATTTCCAAAGAGTTTAGCATCTTTAGCATCAGGAAAATGCAAATTAAAACTGCACTGAGATCAGATCTCACCCCTGTCATAAAAACGAAAGAGTGCTGGGGAAAGTGTTTGGAAAGAGAAACCCTTCCTTAGTCACTGTGAAGCAGTAAACTGGTGCAGCCATTCCTCAAAAAGCTAAACACAGAACTACTATTTAGTTCAGGTGTATTACTCCTAGGTATACACCCAAAGGACCTTATGTTGTATTTCAGAAATACTTGCCTCTCCATGTTGGTTGAAGCTCTGTTCACTGTAGCAAGATGTCCATCAACACATGAATGGATAATTAAAAATGGGATGGATACATCTGTTCATCTATAGGTTGCTAGTCAGCTATTCTCACAACACTGATTCTTCCATTCATGAGCATGGGAGGCATTGCCAGTTTCTAGTGCCATCCTCAATTTGTCTTTTCTTGAAAGAAATGGGGGAGGGGGGATTAAATTCTGTACTTTGCAGGAAAATAGAAATGGGAACTTTATTGAGGTAACCCAGGCTTGGAAGGATAAACATGTTCTTTCACATGCAGATCGTAGTTTCTGATTTTTATGTATGTGTGCTTATGAGAGAATAAGTGTGGGCAGAGGCCAGGAAACCAGGAAGGGATTCATGAGTGGAGTAAAAGCACCTTAAGGGAGAGAGAGGAGTACAGGAGGTTAACACTAGGAGTGGCCAGAGAGATGGGAGAGAGTAGGGTGTGTGGGGAAAGGTCAACCAAATCCAAGTATGTATGAAAATGCCATAAGGAATCTTGCTACTTTGCATGCTACGATAAAATTTTAAGTGTGCATAATATGTTACCACCATTTGTCTAAAGGAGGAGTATATCAACTTCCTTTTAAAAATCTGATGTTTTCTCATCTCTGCTCATTTTAATGTTATCCAACATAACTCTCACTACTCTTACAGATCCACCACACTTTTGCATTAATGCACTCGTCCTTTAAACTCTGGAGAAAATAATAGTAAATGATATAACTGTAGTCATTAATAGTTATAGTCTGAACCAACCATATTGGGCATTTAGCATTCATAGTTATTAACACTTGAGGTTACCCTGTGTCATAGACAAGGTATCAAAGGGATAGCCTATAAGAATGTTTTGAACTGTTGACCCAACCCTACCTACATAACTGTAAATCTTTAATAAGACTCACAGAGAAAAGAAAGGCAACTATAGTATCACTTTCCATTCTTTTCAAAAGAGGCTGTTTGGTGGGGATAAGTGTATGAACTTTGGCATCAGAAACATGGGTTTGAATTCTGTCAAGTGTATCCCTTTAAGTGTAAGCCTTGTTGTTGCCTAATCCCGTTCTCTGCTTTCCCAGAAAAGCCTTTGCACTCCTTCTTCTACATTATATTTCAATATTAGTCTGTCCAACTGTAAATCTCTTAAGCCCTGTGAAGATTAATACTGCCAACCTGACAAGATCTAGAATCACCAAAGAGCCAAACTGAGCTTCTGAGCATGCCTGAGGGAATCTCTAGATTAGATTAGTTTGTGCTGCACCATTCTGTGGGCTGGAATCCCAGACTACATAAGGAGAAAGCTGAGCACCAGTGTTCACCACTTCCCAACTCCAGATGCCATGCCAACAGCTGCCTCGAGCTCCTGAGACAGAGGCAAAATAAACCCTTGTTTCCTTAAGTGCTTTTGTTAGTTATTTGTCTCAGCAACAAGTCCTACAAATCTAACTGTAAAACAGTAGGTTAAAAACAAAAAATCCCCTGGGATTTCTGCTGTGACTAAGATCCTTGATCTTCCAGATCAAGACTTTTAATCTGCAAAAGTCTTCACCTCCAGATTCTGGAATCTTCATGACATTCAAGTTCTCAGTATATTTTCTAGATTTCTTGTCTTGAATTTTGCATTCCTCTTAATGGCAAACATGGGCAGTGCACAAAGATTTGCTATGTCCTAGCACCTCCAAAGTTAGGACTCGCATCCTAGGTTTTGCTGCTCAACTGTTCAGTCTTCTCGCCACTGTGTTTCATGCCAATAAAATAATAAATAATAACAGCAACAAAAGATGCCTGGTGACAACCCATGTGAAGCTTACCATGTAGTTGGAAAGGACTTACTACCATTAAGGAGAAACTTTCAAGTCTGAGGAATTACCCACAGGGGAAAATGGAGAAATGGGAGCCAGTGAACAGCATCGGTCGGGAAACACGACTCTGGCAAGCTGGACTGTGGAGTCCTGGGCACTAAAAGGTAAATTTCATATGGCTTTTCTCAGTGGGTTTCCAATACATGTTTATGGCATGAGTAATCATCACAAAATGGGCATTCAGTATTGAACAAGGGGATCTCACAAATCAGAGGTGAGAAAAGACGACAGCTGTGTTAAATATACCAAAAGCTCCAGACAGTATGAAGACTATTTCTGGCAAGGATGGGTAAATGAACAACTCAGTGTTTCAACAGTCCAGACTGATACAAAATACCATCAGTTCCTTTAAAACAGTGTTCTCAACCTATGGATTATATCCCCTTCGGGGGTTGGACACTCCTCTCTCAGAGGTCGCCTAAGACCAACAGAAAACATATCTACAATATGATTCATAACAGTAGCAAAATTTACAGTTATGAAGTAGCAATTAAATAATTTTATGGTTGGGGTCACCACAACATGAGGAACTGTATTAAAGAGTCTCAACATTAGGAAGGTTGAGAACCACTGCTTTAAACAAAGAATTACTGTATTTTAGGTAAATATAGCCACTGTTGTCTGCTTCCCCCTAACCAGCTTAAGCCATATGTACATTCCGTTCCTTGTTCTCTCATTAATGCCTTGATTTTTCCCATGTCATTTGGTTTCATGCAACTCCTTCCTCACTTGGAGTTTATAGCCCGTTCCATCAGGCATCTTCCTCCTTACCTACTGCTCACACACCAGGCTCTGCAAAGCCTTCCTATTCGTTTCCAGTTATTCCTTCTTTGAGGCCTCTGATACTTTTTCCAGCCTCTTCCTGGTACACGTACCATGTTTGGTTGAGTCTTACCCTCTTTAAGTAACTGCATGGCTTACTATGATAGATTCTACAGGTCTATTTCTATATGTGACACTAGCATTCAATACACAACAGGAACTCAGTTTAATGTTTGGGTAAATTTTATTGCATATTTCCTTATTCAAGCACCACTTAGCAACATAATAACAAACCAATTCAGAAAGGACTGAATTTTGCAGAAATCCTCACTAATTAGCCTTTCCTTGTCCTTACCTTGCCACACCTAAAGTTCAGTAATAACGTAGAAAAGTCCTTTTAGGGGTTTAGTTGATGAACCGCAGTAACACAATTCAATAATTAACACTAAGAGGAACATCTCAAACAGCTGAGAAGCATACACAAAAAGCAAAGTACTGAGTGTCTTGCTCAAACTGTTCCCAGGGGCTCATGGAACTTCACTCGCTGTTGAAGGGGTTCTTGTGCTCTGGCTGCAAAGTCACTGACACTGTTTGCATCATAAGTGAAGAAATTGCATCTAATTTCCTCTCTGTAGATGGATTTATATATATTCTTACACTTCTTTCCACTTTGCCTGATTTAGGCCAATGAAGTTGGGCTGAGAGACTGCGAGCTCCATCAGGCAACTTGACATGACCTAACAAAACCTTAATAGAAATACATGGTCAATCCCCACCACACCCCAAATCATTCTCTTAGCTCTTATACAAGGTAGCTTTGCGATCCTGGGCAAATCATTTGCCTATGACACTTTTATATTTTTATTCCAATATATTTGTTGGGTTAATATTGCACAGATATATTTTTGTCACAAGTTAGTTTCCTTGAAGGTAGCAATGTAGATACATAACTTTTGTTATTATTTATAATATACAAACTGATGAATACAAACAGAACCACTCGTTAGGAACACGGGATAATAGCACTTATAAAACAGAGCTGGATGTGTGTAATCCCAGCAGGAGGATCACAAGTTCAAAACCAGCCTGGGCTTCCAGTAAAACCGATTTCAGAAAACAGAAACAACAAAAACCCACACACAAACATAATAATCTGAATGTGTGTCATGACTCCAAGCCAGAGGGCAAGCACTTGTTAGGCCACTAGAGATCTGGGGAATGTCATCAGACATCTGTAAGCACCTGAGAGCAACAGCCGCCTTACTCGCTTTGATGATAAAGTATTGCTTGCCCAAGGAGGACCTTGCTCCAGGGTTTCACCCCTCTATCGGGAGTCCATGCTATCAGTGAAGGGCTTCTGAGGCATTCCTGAGAAATGCTTTTGTTTTCCAAGAACTCAAAAGAAGGTTTGGCTTCTGGGCTTTTACTGGAAGGAAATACTGTATGCTAGATATTTGTAGTCGGGTTTCCAAACTTTTTGTCAACAATGTTACCAGCTTACAGTTCTCAGTCTGCAGAAAACATGTACATGGAAGACAGACAGGCAGAAGGACATTTGTGGCCAGGTAAGAGTTTCAGGAAAAACCCAGTCCATGCCCCAGAAGTCTGGCCAGTTCTAGGCAGCTTCAGCACACTTATTTCTAGGCATGCTAGGTCCCTGGCTCCTGTGTGTGAGGTAGGAGAGGTAAGCCCACAGAAGACACAGAATTGAGATGGGAAGAGATCAGGGTTACAAGGTATGGGGAAATAGTCGGTGGCTAACACAATGGACATAGCTTTTCTTATTTAACATGTATTTTTTTGGTGGCAATCCAAAAGCAGATGTTCAGAAATAGCCTATTACGGTCTGTGCATGGCTTCCCAAGAGGGCATCATTTAAAGAATAATGATTAATTGATTCTAAAAGTTATGAGAGAGTTGTTTTTAAAAGTAGTGTTTGCTTTTAATTATATAAAACATTTTGAACAGTGATCATAGCCTGTGATATGAACCAATGTCGAGGGGGTGGGGTGGGATTGCGGTGCTCATTTTATGAACTATGTGTTCTATGCATGGCCACAAGAGCAGGCTGTGCACACCTGGTGAGGCGCCAGAAGACAAAGACATAAGGAACGGACGGCATGGTTATTCCCAGCTGGCCTCGCAGTCTCTGTGCTTTAGTGAGGCAGCACAGCACGACAGAGTGAGGCTCAGTATCAGCACCCAGTCCCTTCCAGGCTTCCTTCGGAGACTGCAAATTCCTTCCTTCCTGAGGCCCAGTTACCCTATCCACAAATGCCTGGTGAAGAGCCTGGCACACTGCTTAGGAAACACCAGTTCTTCCTTAGGGAAGGCTATTTTCTGAAAACTGAGGGTGGTAATCTATTTGTAGACTGAGACTGGTTTAGTGGGTTGAAATTAGCATGTTGAAAAACAAAACATCAGAATGTATTGCATAAATGGTAAACATTTTTCATGTATATATGTTCAATTTGAATACATTTTTACTGTGGGTTACACCAACATTTCAGAAAAATTATCAGATTATAACATCAAAAAAAGTCTTTAGGAATACTGCCGTTACTGAAATGATGTCTCTACAAATTTTAAGATAATAAAATGATTCTTTTTAACTAGTTGAAATAAAAATAAGACATAAATCATAGGAAAGATAAATTTAACGAGACACTATGGGGCATATTAAATTCAATTTTAAGATCACTTTTGTGTCATACTGACTAATTTATACTTTTAAGTACTTTATATCATTTATAGGTGATTAAACACTTCTAAGAAATTTCCACAAAAAGTTGGCTATTGAATTCTACTATGGAAAAATGAGAAACAATTTCTAAATAACTTTAAAGTATAATAAAATTTAAAAGAGGACTGTGACTTCCTTAAGCATTAAGACGGCTAGAGTCAAAAGCCCAATGCTGAGGGTTCATGAACATGTCAACAGTTCCCACACTGGCTCAGCAAAGATGCGAAGCCCAGAGGGTGTGAGCCTGACAGCCAAGCCTCACCCCTGCTTCTCTGACTTCCGTGTGCTGAGGCTGTGATGGCACAGGGACTGATGGCACTGTGGGGATTCATTGAATTGAGTAGTAAGCAGAGGAAGATGAAGTAGAACACAGGGGATTAAAGAATTAAACAACACTGCTTATCCTTAGAGTTCCAGCTAAGCAGGCTGACTGGCTATATCAGAATTACCCCAGGGCCAAAGTTCAAGAATCTTGTTTCAGCTGGCTATGATAGCACACCTTTAATCCCAGAACTCACGAGGCAGAGGCAGGCAGATCTCTGAGTTCAAGGCCAGCCTGGTCTACAGAGCAAGTTCCAGGTCAGCCAGGCCAGGGCTATATAGAGAAACCATATTGAAAAACAAAACGAAACAACAAAAAAAAAAGAATCTTATTTTCAGTAAACTCTGGATGCATCCTGTCTGCTCCTGCTCAGGTTTCACACGCCATCTTAAAGGAGCAGCAAGAACCAACCGGAGAACAAAGAATGACAGTAAAAGTAATTACTCTAAAGACTTAATGCCCAGTGTGTTTGGCAATATTTCAGGATCCGACAATTATTCAAAGTTTTTGTTTGTTTGTTTTTTAGTTATTAAAGTCTTAAGTAAGCAGGTAAGAAATACTACTTTCCAATCTTTTAATACAATGTAGTGCTTTGTTTCATAGGACTGCACTGGTAAGACTCACAAAGCATTAAAGGGAAGGCTGTTATGACACAGAGGGAAAGGTAGCAACCAACAGAGGTCAAACATCAACTCAGGACTTAAAAGAAGCTAAGCGGTAAACCCTTCGGCCCTTGAACCTGTGTTGTGGCTAGTGGTGCACTCTCAGGAAGAGGTAAGAGTTGAGGGGATCAGTGGCTTCTTCCTATGCCTTTTCTCTACATCTCAAACCTTTCTGTTGTGAGACAAACATGGAGTTGGAGTGGACCATGCCTGCTGTCCATGTCAACTGTTGGGTTAGCACCACAGATCTTTCCTTGGGTCTGAACCATGAACTTGGCCATCTAGAATGTGAGAGAAGTTAAGAGTGAACACTGGGAGGAACAGTGGCAGGAGCGGAGACAGCTTGGCAAAGGGCAGCAGTAACAGATGTGAGGTAGAAAGCTCCTTCTCGGACCCCCAAGGAGACTGAGGGGCCTCGATCCCTTGAGGCAGGTATGCCAGCCCCTTCTTAAGTGCCCTGTGATATGATCTTGTACTCCCCTTAGCCCAAATAATGTTGGAAATATTTAAATTTTCTTTTTTCAACTAAAAGAGACTGCAGGTAGGGGTAGCTAGAGATGGAAAACTATATAAAAAGGCAGATTGTGAGAAAAATCCTTCTAACATGGGTAGAATGCACCCTAGAAGCAGATAGTTTTCAGAATCGCTGCTGGAAATAGGCTTGGTGGCTGGCTTAGTAGGTCTAGCATGTGAGGTTTTGTGCTCCTTATTTGGAGAGGCAGGAAAGACTTCAGAAAAAAAATGACACCCGTGTCACAATGAAGAGACTGTAAAGAGAAAATGGGCTTCTCCTTCTATTTTATAGTATTAATTTCCTTCCCCAGAAAATATAGATGGACCCAAGGACAACAGCCCTCCAGTCCACAAGTAGTTCACCCGTGCACCATGTTGAGCAGCACATCCCTACCTGACGGGAAGACTCCCGGACTCACATTCTGTTCCTCCCTATAGGAAGAAATAATCTACAAATACACTGACCCTCATGCTTCCAATACATGTCTACACATCTTAGATCCTGAGAGTTATAGATCCAGTTTTCACAGTTCTAGGCCGAACCTTTGCTCTTTGGCAGTCTTTAAACCTGACCTCTGCCCAGATCCTCTCTGCCCAGGCTCCTCCACCTCTAAAATCTCCATTAACACCCAGCAAACAAACAGGTCCACTTATGGTGGTTCAACGTCACATGGACACGGAGAGCCACTTCCTAACACTGTTCCAACAACAGCAGGCTGCTCCTTAGGTCGGGTGCACAGCACCAGCTGGAAGCTTGGGCTTTAACTGCATTTTTTGTCACTTTGGCTAGGGAGATCTGGACAGCTGGAAGTGAGCTTCTCCATCATTTTCTGTTTCCTTCTTTGTATCAATTTTCCACCTGTGAAGCCTAACACCCCACCACCAAGTGCAGCTGCAATTCCTGCCACTTTGAAGCCTGCGAGGAGGCCGATGGGACCCCCCACCACTCCTCCAATGAGTGCACCTGCCACAGGCAGGGCTGCCAGCTTGTATTTTGCAGCCTGTAAAAAAAAAAAAAAAAAAAAAAAAAATTCAATTTAGAAATGGAGTTGAGAAAATCTGCCTGTGGTGATGTGCGCTTTCCTCTCATTACTCCTGGCAATGCCTCTTTAACTCTAGGTTCATAATTAACCTGGGATTATTCTTGAAGGGTGTGTGTGTGAATGTATCCCACAGGTACTGCCATTGCTCCAGACCACAGCACTAAAGGAGGTGGAGGTGTGCTCCCGATTGGACTATACAAAATGATTTTACTTGCAAAATAATCAATCCACTATCTGGCTGGCTTATTTAAACAGCTTCAGCAGCCACTGGCTCCCAGCAAAGCTTTGATTCAGCACAAGGCTATTCCACACTAGGCACCTGGGCTGAAAGTCACATCAGATGGATAATAGATGCTCCCACTCCTCCAGTGCTGCTGCAGGCTCATACTTTGGTTCTGCCTGGATTAATGGACTGCTCTCTCTTCTCCCTAGGCCTCCACAGATATCCCTTCATAACAACTAAATGCCCTAGAGTGAGGCCACAGTTCATTCTCTTTGGGGAAAAAAAAATTCTCTCATGATAGAATGAATCTGGGAGTAAAATATTACAGCCATTGATTTCTTACACTACCTATGTGTCGTTTCTTCCTTATTTCCTTAATTGCTGGTTCCCTCAACACTGAAGAGAGCAGATCAATTGGGTTAATACTAGAGATTCCTGGGAGCCAGAGCACCATTGATTTGTCAGCAGGAGCGGAATCTTACCTTCTGCAAGTTTTTGGTTCCCTCTTCAACATTCACAGCGGCACTGTTGACATGGTCTGCAATGCTGTCAATCTTCTCCTGCTGAGACTAGATGCAAAGGAATTATGAGTGAGGGGCCCTGCTGGGGAGCGGTGGGAAGCCAACACACACTATTTTAATTCCTGTAATCAGGCCCTGGGTACTGCAGCCTTGCAGTTCTTAATAGTGGTTCATTAATAGCATCTGATAAACCATGTCGAAAGTACAAATTCACTTTCAGGAAAAGAGAGGGGGACTTAATGATTAGGTAATAAAAGGGTGGCACCTTCATAGCAAAAAGCACCTCACACTGGAATTCATTCAAACACACAAACATGTTATTCTCCAAAGGAACCTACGTTGTAGGAGGAAAAAGAAATCCAAATAAGCACTTAAGCATTTATATGTCAAGTTAGGTTTGATAGCAAAAAAAAAAAAGAAAGAAAGAAAAAGAAAGAAAGAAAACAAATTCAAACAACAACAAGAAGTCCATAACTTGTCTTCTCTGGATATTCACCTTAGGAGTAAAATGCCCTTGATCCAACAAATACAAACTGGTTTTTGTTGCTGCTGCTGCTGCTGTTTTTGTAAGAATGAGACTACCATTCAGTGCAGTCCAGCATGAGACCTCTGCACTTGTGATCATGTAACAGGGAGCAACCAAGAAATCTGGGTCTTGAATTTTACTAAATAAATTATAGTCCAAGTTAAAATGTTTCCCATCAACAATATTAATACAGCAATCTACCTAAACCAGCAACACCTGTTCTGACACAGCAGCAATCAGGACTCCTGGGATCGCTGATGGATGAATGGAATGGCTGAGGCCTGCCACTCTCCTCTCTAATGTGTGAAACCACCTCAGTGTCACACATGAGTGGCTACTGAGCTCTGTTCAGACACCTCAGTCACAAGCACTCTGTCCTTACCCTAGAAACAGGAGCTCATCAAGATCAACTTATTTAGTTATATACATACATACATACATACATACACACATACATACACACACACATATATATACCATATATATATAGTTAGATATATACATATGTGTGTGTATAACACACATATGGTAGAGTGGGCTAGGTCCTGGTCAGTGTAGAAACCCACGTGATCACTATGACCATCAGGGCATAAGCAGTTTCTTTCATTTCCCACCTTGCAGAAGAACATGGGAGAATGTCTCTTTTGTTCCACCTAAGGCCACCTCCTACAGTGAGTGTGAAGTGATGCAACTGTCTTTATGCTAACTGACTTAGACCGAGCAGGAATGCCTAACACTTCTCATTCCAACCAGCACTCCATGTGCAGACATGAGTGCAGCACAGCCTACCGAGCCCATCTTTCTCCTGTTAGCATTACTGATATTCTTTCTCTGCCCAGCAAACACCTTTTCTCTGCCAGGCCTTTTGTGCTGGCCATTCATTCCAGGATCCTTCAGCACCATCTTGAGATCCGTAGTCCTAAATATCTGGTTTTCAGTTTTATTTTGAATCTGTCACACAAATATATGCAAGGCTCTCAAACTAGTTCACCCGGAAAGCTTCTGGAAATGTACTGTTGGGCCCGGCCACAGGCTTTTGATGTTGCAGTCTGAGAGTTTAGTGTGTGTGTGTGTGTGTGTGTGTGTGTGTGTGTGTGTGTGTAATCAGAAGAGGGTATCAGATCTCCCGGAGCTGGAGTTATACAGGAGGCTGTGAGCCGCTGGCTGTGGGTGCTGGGAACCAACACAGGTCTCCTACAAGAGCAGTACATGCTCTTAACTGCGGAGCCATCTCTGCGGTCTCCCATTGTACACACTTTGAAGGTCACTGTTATCCATGATAAGACTGGCACAAAACCTAGGTTTGGATATTCTGTGTTCAAACCCCAGCACTGTCCTGGTATGTCCTTGAGCCAAGTACTTCCGTCTACTACAGGAGGACAATGGTGCTTCTACTTCAGAATTAAGAGGAGGATACAATGAGGTGTCTGCAAAGCACAATGGAGAAACAGAAGCACCCAACTACCAGCCCAAGAAGAATCCATCTGTCCTGGGGCAGTTTCCCAAGGAAGTGCTAAATTAATAATTAATTATTAATAATTATTAATAATTTCCAGTGAAAAATTTAATGAGCTTTGGTTCCTGTGAACATGTTCTCAGATCATAGATGTACAGATTGTAATTTTTATGATAGCAAAGCTTCTTTAAGTGAGCTTTCTTCTTAGCCGCAGAGGCAAACGTGCCAGCACCAATAATACCCAACTGGCCTGGGTTCCTGACACCTTAGCATGACTTCTGTCAGTGGCACACCCACGGTTTCCACGCCGGCCTGAAACAGTCTATGCTAGCAGATAAGCCGCTGCAGTAAAACCAACCCTATCATCAACTTTTACATCTTTATAGGCTAAGGTAGATCGTAACTAGCTCCTCCCCCTCAAGCTGAGGGAGGAGTCTGCTAGGGCTACTGCTATGTCCACACTCGAAGTGACCGGAAGACATCAGGAAGATCTATTTTTCTGTGCCCTCTCCTAAAACTTTGGATACTGCAACACTATGACTGTCTTAGTCACTGTTCTGTTGCTGTAAAGAGACACCAAGACCAAGGCAACTCATATACAGGGAAACATTTAACTGGGGGCTTGCACAGTTTCAGGGGCTTAGCCTATCATCCATGGCAGGGAATGTGGTGACAGGGAGCATAATGCACACATGATGCGAGAATTAGCTAAGAGTTACATCTTGATCAGTATGTATTGCCAGAAGACAGAGAGTGGGCCTGGCAGGGGCGTTTGACACCTTAAAGCCCATCCCCAGTGACATACTTCTCCCAACAAGACCATACCTCCTAATCCTTTAATCCTTTCAAAGAGTTTCACTACCTGGTTACTGTGCATTCAAATATATGAATCTATTGGGGCCATTCTCATTTAAACCATCACAATGACTTTTAAAGTTTAATGTAGAATAGTAAAATACTGAATTTTCTCCCTATAAAATTTCTTTGGAATAATTAGATTAAGGACTATCAGGAAAATACCTATCCTAAGATTATTCATTATTTAAACATCATGCAACTACTAGCCCAAGAAGAATCCATCTGTCCTGGGGCAGTAGAACATATCTGCAGGTACTACAGAAATTGGGAAGCTTGCTTAGACATGGGGATAGGGTAAGGCAGAGGGCAGAAAGCCCTTCCCTGGGACCAACAGGCTCCCCTCAACTCTACAGACCTAGCTAATTCTTTCCTTTAGTTTGCCTTCAATCCTCCAACTGCCTATCTTCAGATTCTACTCCATGAATAAGGAGGGCTTGTGATGTCTACAATGATTGCAGTTAGCTGTCAATCACAATCAGAGTAACAAACTACACTGTGTCTAGAACTGAGTCCGTAGCTCTTTACACCTGGCCAAGCTGCACATGTATAACCACCTTCCACAGCCTGTGAGACCAGGCTTCTCCTGACAGTGGTGGCAAGGGGACTCTTTGCTTCTATCTACCTACCTTCCCTCTTTGCTTCTGACTTGTGTAAGTTTGTCTTCATCTACCTAGATTTCCCACACTGGACAGTCTTCACCATTTCCCCTGTGTGGCATTTTATTCTTTGGGACTTAGAAGTGTTTTCAGCATCTCTTTAACAATGAACAAAGCTATGTATAAGGCACACTACAGTGTTTACCAAACTAACATACACATCCAATTTTATAGAAGAAAAATTCTCAAAACTTGAAAAATATGCCTATGAATTTCATTTTAAGAAATATTGGATTATATTGCCCTATTATCCTTAAAATAAATCTGTATAAGCAATTTTAGAGCCACCTAAGATTCAGGAGAAAATGTGAATTATTATGTTAATATTTGTTGAGAAGAATGCAAGTTGAATATATGAATCAGAAACTAATCATTTTTTCCCCTGAATGATTGCTGTGGGTACTTGTCAGCCCAACATCAAACAATATTTCATGTTATTATATCAAATAATAATTCACTCAACAAATTCACCTCAAATCCATTTACATCAACAACAGAGCTCTTCCTTAGAGAGGTTATTGTACAGTCTTACTAGTGAGCTTAGAAAGCTATGAGTTTAAGGCAATGGCCAAACTGCAGATAGTTCCCTTTACTCCTCTCTAAGTTCCAGCTATAATCATAAGCAATCACAGAGACAGAAATCCCAGAAGAAAATAGAAATGTGATACACAGGTAGAGTGCCGTTATCTCGGCCTAGCAAAGACAGTAAGCAGGGTAAAGAAGCAGGACACTGCAGTGGGAGGAAAGGGACTCAATACTGGAATGTCTGAAGGGAATGATGTTGGGGACTGAGGTCAAGAACCAAACCAAGGCTGCAGGAACAGCTGAGGCAGATGGGAGTGAGAGGATGAAGAATGCTGTCTGAAGTAGACCTCCCATCAGGCATGCAAAGCTGTTTGTTGTTGAATACCATACCGTGCTAAAGCTCACAGCAGTCATGCAAGAATGAATCTAACTGAATCCACTGTAGCCCTACTATAATGTGGCCAGAACAAAATTAGATTTCAAGAGCCATAGAGAATAAAACAAACAGTAAGGGTAAGGGTAACAAACAGTAAGTAGCAGTAAGGGTAACATCTTGTTCAGCTTCTGGCCCAGAGTTCTTTACATTCTCCTTGACTAGATAGAAATAGGTCTGGTCACAAGAAAAGGGTACTTGCACCAACAGAGCAGGGTGACTTGTAGATACTAATACACAGGATTACTGGGCTTCATTGTAATCTCCCAGGACCTTAGTGAATCCTTTGTTTACAGCAAACTAACACCTAACATTTTAATGACTTTTAAGCATACCATTTTGTGGCATTTCATTCACAATGTAGAGACATCATTACCACTACCCTATAGGATCTCTTGATCCTACTGAGGCTAGCACAGAGCTGTGTGTCCAGAAGGTGCTCCTTGATTACACAGTTAATTTGCCCACTTACAGTCTCATCCATGTGATAACAACAGAGGATGTGGTCACTCCTGTGTTCTCTGCTTAGTCTGTCTGTGAATCCTTGGCCATGCATCATAAGAACTCAATCATTCTGGGAATAACAATCAAGGTCTTTCTTTGAGCTTCTGCCAAATAGTATTGTGCCTCATGTCCTTGTGATTATAACTAGGACATTTGTATAGGGCTATGACTGTGACTGGAACCTTCTGCATAACTCCTTCTTAGACTGGGGTTGAGAACACAACATAATTGAACACACAACTATTAATCCTCCATAAACTTTACTTTTTTCTTTCATATACGTACCCACTGGAAGAGAAATGTACATGTCTTAAGAAGAGCTAAGTAGCTGGGCAGTGGTGGCGCACGCCTTTAATCCCAGCACTTGGGAGGCAGAGGCAGGCAGATTTCTGAGTTCGAGGCCAGCCTGGTCTACAGAGTGAGTTCCAGGACAGCCAGGACTACACAGAGAAACCCTGTCTTGGAAACAAACAAACAAACAAATACAAAAAAAACAAAAAAAGAAGAGCTAAGTATATCTTTAATTTGTTCTTTAAATCAACTTTAGTGATGAATAATTTACATGTATTGAAATGCATTTAAGTGTACAGATTGATAGCCTTGGCAAATGCATATATTTATATAACCATATACACATACACTTTGCATACTGCATTAGATTGGGAGATTATTAATTACAATAACTGAATAGATCGTGATTGTAAATAATACATGTCTGGGGGATTCATGTATCATTCTCTGCCATTTGCAAAATAATAACAGATACCTAATCCAGAGACTTATAATATTTTCTTTCTTCCTCCCTCCCCCCCCTTATTATTTAGAGGCATCAGAAATAACTCAAACAATTTACTGCTTTCTATTTTGATCATTACACTTAAAGAAAATATCTATAAGGCAATATAAGAGGTACAAGCCAACACTAGACAGTTAGAACTCATTGGTATAGGAGGGCCACAGAAGAAGAAAGATTTCTAAGAAATGAAATTATGTTGAAATGGGTCAAAAAAGCAACAACTAACAAACAAAACAAAAACAAGAACAACTGTCTCAAAACTCTGAAAACCTCTTATTTTGAAAGAAGACAAGTGTCCTCACCCCATAACTGTTAAAAAGACAGAGGCTAGTGTTTGAGAATCTGGACAGAGTACAGAGCTAGAGTAACAAGCTCTGGAGTCCTCTGTTTCAACTCTGAGAAGCTGTGGCCTAGGAGTTTCCACCTCAAAGCCAAGCTTTAGAGAAGCCATGCCTCAGAAAAGGTGGATTCCAGTTCATGACTTAATAAAAACAATCACCCTAGCCAGCGCACAGGGGAAAGAGCTTTGCACCTGTGCAAATGTATTCATGCACGTGCTTATATACTATACCTTTTCATAATTCTTACAGAAAATGCAAGAATAATTTAGAAAAATGATAGAAAATCTCTTTCCTCCAAGACTACAACGTGCTCCCTAATCTAAGTCAATGGATTCATTCAGGCCTTATAACAAAGAATAAAGATATACAGTATCCTGTCTTTGACTTCAGTTCCTCTGGGTTGGTCCTCAAAAAAGTCTCCTGAGTATCCATTACACTATATAGGTAGGTATTACCACCTATATATTGTAATCTACCTATAGATTATATTCTTGTAGCTTGTTCCTAACTAGTCACCCTGCCCATGACTTCCTCTTCACTATTATAACAGTCTTTCCAAGGCAGACTGGATTGCAAGAGTTTAGCTTGATCACGCATCTGAACAGGGTCCTTCAGGCCCTCAAAGCAACCAAAAATTCAGTACCAGCACAACTTGGCTCTCGCCATCCTTGCTTGCCCCTGGTCCTCCAGGCTTTGAATAACACCCACTTAATACTCAGGGACAGTCTACACAGCTCACTATGTTCTGTCCTGCTCACCTGTTCTGGTGTTCCCCTGGGGCTCTCTATGAGTGGAGGTAGTTTTAATGCTGCTACTTTATAAACCACGCCTCCCTCCCTGGAATACAATGCTTCTTCTTGGAGCTAATGAGGCTTCTCTATATTTCTTATTTTTGCATTTACTAGTTATCATGGTTGAAAACTGAGTCTGGGAGTTCCAGCCTTCTTCCTTCTATGGAATTCCAAAAGGCAGAAAGTGGACTTTATTTATGTCTATAAACAACTTTGTCAGACTTCCAATGACTGATAGATTTGAAAGAATCTAGCAAAGTACTTTTTCCATAATATTGACTGACTTGATCTAGAATTTAAGGACTATATACAACAGTTAAACACCATTCTTAAAATTATAATCTAGGCTCAGTGGTTGAGAGCACTTGCTGCTCTTGCACTGGACCCAAGTTAGGTCCTCAGTACTCATTTAGCAGCTCAAAACCATCTATCCATAACTCCAGTTCCAGGGCATCCCATGACCTTTTCCGGCCTCTATGGGCATCAAACACACAGGCAATGCACATTCATACATGTAGGCAAAACTCATACACATACATATTTTAAATATATGTGACTTCTATTGAATTTCTAATCAAAGGGACAGTGATTGATCAGTTCTGAGTCTTGGTTACATACTTACATTCACTAGGAGGGACATATCAGTGACCAGATGGCTAAGCTCAATTAACCCCTTAAAAGAGAGAGAGAGAGAGAAAGAGAGGGACTTAATTACTTACATTTACATCTCACAGTTATCATATACATACACACACACACACACACACACACACACACACACATATATAATTTTTTTTAACATACCGCTTCTAGGGTATCCCAGGACTCAGCAGCATTTTGGTCTCGAGGAATTTCAGGCAAGGCATGTATCTGAGTCAGACTTTGAGAAGCAGCTTCAGCCTCCCCAGTGTGGAGCGTTCCTAGATAGACACAGACCTGGTTAGAGTTTGCTTCTCAGAAAGGAGAGACCATAAACTGGCTTTACAAGACAACTTCATGTAATTCAGTTCAGGCTAAAAGTAAATAAATCATTATATGAAAATAGCATTATATACCCTTGGGCAGCCTATTCTCTAAGTGAGTAGGTGCAAAGGTACTGAGCAAGACTATACATACATGTTCTGCATGAATGGAGTAAAAGGGTTAACAGTGGAAGAGGTGACAATGGGAATTACTATCCTTGGCCAGCATTCTACTGGACACAGCAGCAGCAACAGGTATAACATGTTCTGCTGCTAAATAGTCCTTAGGCTAACTTAGCTATCTTATTAATAAGGATAAGACAACGGATGGCAGAAGCAGGAAAGTGGGGCAGGTGAGACGGCTCTGCAGGTAAAGCACCTGAAGCAAACTTGACAAGCTGAGTTCAATCTTGAAACCCACAGACAGATGGAGAGAATAGATACCACTAAGTTGTCCTCTCACCTCCATACACATGCTACAACACACACACCCTGCACAGCTCACACACACACCACAGCTCACACACACACACAAACTCACACATCACACACATGCACCAGTTCACACACACACACACACACACACAAATAAATGAATAAATAAATAAATACCTAATTTTAAAGTGGGAAAGTAGGGTGATGTTTAACTCAATGGAAGGTCACTCTAGGGTACTAGTAAAGTAGAAAACAGGTGTAGTTACATGTTTGTAGCAATTACCATCAGTCTCTTGGTGACAATCTCATGAGCAGTGAGCACATTTGCCATGTGAATATTTTTAGAAATGCTTAGAGTCACTCTTCCTCCACATAACTGCCATGGTTTCTTCTACTTTTCTAGTTTTTAAAAACCTTTCAACCCTCAAAACTATTTATTAAGTATTACTGTTAATGACAAAGCAGTTTGTACCACAAATATTTACCTTTAAGTCTTTCTGGGTCTTCATGCTAGTTTTACCAGTCTTTCATTTGTGAAATTGACATTTGTTGCACACCTAACACAGACACAATAGTAGGCTATAAAACCAAGCCTGTAGTGGCAATACCACAGGGCTATTAGCACTATTAGAATTCTGGTTTGGAGACTTGCTGTCCCTACTTGTACAGTAAGCTGCTGTTCACTCTGCATATAGTCTGTCCCTGCTGCAGCCACTGCTACTGTCGCATCGTGAGGAGAGCTTCAATGGAACCTGTGGTGCAGACACGAACTGTCAAGTTCAGTCAGCATTAGCTGACAAGCCTATGGCATGGTGAGTATGATGTGCTACATAAGGGTAGGACAGGCATCAAATCCTGACTTGTGGAGATGGTAGTCGGGGCTTCTGAGACTGAAGCCTGAGGAGAGAAAACCAGACAGGTGGAGTGGGGTGCGATGCCCAGAGTGTGTAACTCAAGGAGAACAGTATGTGCAGAGGCAGAAGCTGAAAGATGTGCAGTCTAGCTGATGCACCGCCATGGGAGGAAGAAAGCAAAGGCTGAGGCTGACAGTCTAAGGTGAGATTACTGCAGGACACTGCAAAACATTCAAGAGCTGTGTCTTTCTCATATGATCACTACCAAACTATTAAGAGGAGCTGGAGACTACTGGGAAGTTGGAAGATGCCATAATCAGACCTTAGCCACAGTGTGAAGAACACATTAAGGATGAAGTTGGCAGGTGAGAAAGCTAGAGTGAAAAGCCAGTTAGGAGGCTTTAACAATATATCCAGTGTAAAATGACACTCTCCAGCCTTAGAGAGGCAACAGTGGAGATGCAGAGACGATACAGGAAGCTCTGCTCAGTCTACTTTAAGCTCAAAACACCTGCCATCATACATTATTTTTTTAATTATATCTTATTTATTGTGTGTGCACATGCACTTATCTGTGCCACAATGCACATGTGAAAGCCAGAGGACAACTTAACGGAATAGGAGAAGGTTCTCTCCTCCATGATCAGACTCAGGTCTTGGTGGCAAGAGCTTTACCTGCCAAGCCATCCCACTAGTCTGAGTAACTAGTTAAAACGCATAGTTCAGCATTATGTGTTGTTCATACAAAGGATGAAAATGTGGATTGTACAGAGTACAACTCTCAAAGAGCTTACATTCTAGGAGAATCAGACTTAAAGGGTGTTCATAAAAGAGGGGTAGACCACATTAGAGATAATAGAGAGAGAGATCAGAGGGGGTTCTGATTCAGCTTGATACGGCAGGCAGTTCAGACTTTCTGGAGAAGGTGGAATCATTAGACAAAGAAGAGAGGAATATAGACGCTAGATGGAGAAAGCAGCAGGAGCAAGCACCTCACGCTCACGAGAGAAGTGACCCAGCTGAGCTACAGCCAGAAGCCAGGCGTTCTCAGAGCGTGAAGGGAGACAAGGAAGGACAAGAACAAAAGGCACTGGATGACGTGGAGCCTTTCTGCCCAGGAAGAGACTTCATGTGGCAGACAACAGAAGGCTCTGAAGGCTTGCAAGCATGCTCTCAAGTATCATGACTGTGACCTGACCTACTCCTGAGTCAGTCATTATAAAACTATATTAATTCCCATTTTCTTTCCAGTCCTTTTTTTCCCAGCCAAGCCTAAAAGCAAATGATATTTTATAAAACAGTGTGATTCATGTATTTACAAAGTTAGTGAATACTTTACTCTTAAGAAAAACATTTGCTTAAACTAATCAGGAAGGGCATAGTCAGCTGAACAAAGGACAGCATGAAGACTTATCAGATTCATACTGATTATTTTTCAATTCTAAATTTGATATCTGAATATATACTTGAATATATCTATTTATTTGTGCTGAGATTGTAGAACTGTCACATTGCCTAGATAACATTTTTATTTATTTTGTGGCAACAACATATTTTTTAAAGATTCATTTATTTTATGTTTATGAGTACACTGTCACTGTCTTCAGACACACCAGAAAAGGGCATCAGATCCCATTACAGATGGTTGTGAGCCACCATGTGGTTGCTGGGAATTGAACTCAGAACCTCTGGAAGAGCAATCAGTGTTCTTAACTGCTGAGCCATCTCTCCAACCCACAATATTATATCTTAATCATACCCAACCCAAGGCCCCTTCTACTCTGTCTGGAATCTCCAATATTTCCCTTCCCACCTTCCTGTCTAAGTGCCATCTGTATGCATGTGGGTGTCTATGTTTTGTATCTTAAAGAACAAAATCATCAGGCAGAGTACATCTTATATCAGTATAGTAAAGAACCAATCTTTTCAAATGTTTCCTTTTTTAAAATTTTCACTTCAATTAAGATAAATGAATCAACCTATGACCTTTCTTTCACTTTAAATTCCATGTAACTTCCTGATCAGTGTCAGATGGGATATAAGCAGAACCCTGTAATTGTGCACACACTAAAGACCTTAAGCTATAACCTATAGAAGATTCAAGTGAAAAAGGTACAAAACAGGGAAAGATTATAACACAAAATGCATTATCTTTAAAAAAAGATGAGAAGTATTTGACATTTTAAACAAACAAAAGATTTCGGTCAGTACAAAAAAGAAATGATTAGGTCATTTCCATCTCACTTGAAACCAAACTACGTATGTGTCTTAGTTACAACAAAGACGTCCTTTCTTTTCCATGGAAAACCTTGGTGTTAATTTACAACTCTGAGAACATCACAAATCAACTCAAAGCATGACTGTCAAGAAAGAACTCTTAATTTCTAAAACTTCTGTAATTCACTTATTTCAGCTCATGCCTTAGTGCTTATCCTTTGACTATGAACTCTTACAAACATGTACAGGCATGTGCGTGCGTTCGTGTGTGTGCGTGCGTTCGTGTGTGTGTGTGTGTGTGTGTGTGAGATAAAACCTTACTACCGGCTATACATTTAAATAAACTTTAACATTAACTCCCTCTGACTGAAATGATAAATAAGCTATCTAACTATATCCTGCCCCATCCCACCCCCCTTTTTTTGTACCTTGTGAACAGCAAAGTTTCTACCAGGAAGTACATCCTAGTAGATATGACATCTCTACTAACCTTCATACATAGTAGTGTTTCACGACAAAACTAAATAAATTCAAAGGCATTCCTTAAACTTTTCAAGTTTTGACACCTTAAAAATGAAATGAATTTACTGATTATCATTGAACATAAACCAATCTATCAAAATAAAATGACTGCTAATTCACACCTTAATGCAGAAGAGGATATTTAGATTACAGTCAACGGGAGATGTAGCCTCTGAATACTATCAGACAAAACCAGTGCTGTGTTGTGACAGCCATTCAGTGCATGCAGACACCAGTGGTAAAACTCTAGTAACACGTCGAATTCTACACGCTGGTCTGAAGTTCCCAGCACCTTTAAGATTGAGATCTTTTTTTTTTTTTTTTGAGGGTATTTGTTGAAAATGGACTAAAATTCCCTTCCTGCTGTGCCACTGGGATACATGTTCTGGAAGTGGGGATGGGAAGACAGACAGAAGCTGGAGAGATGCGCTGCCCCACCCAGAATGGCATAAGCCTCCACTCTGAGTGCAAATCAGATGGATAGGCTCACCGTTCTTCTTGATGGGGAGCGAGGAGAGGGATGTGAAAGGGGATGAGAGGGAAGGAAGCTTCCCATGTCAAGCAGGCTGACTATCAGACCTTTCAGAATCGGGACAAAAGAAACAGCATAAACCACAGCTCCCCTAAACTTCCTTCGGTTCCCAGAAAACATAAGATGCTCTACTCTACTCATTATTTCTGTCCTTCAATGGAAATTATTTTTGTATTTTTCTATCTCACTCATGGAGATGTGGCAAGTCTACTCCTGAATCTCTGTTTCCAATCAATGTGTTTAGAATTAGATTCATAGAGAATTTTAAGACATTTAAGTTCCATGCAAACAGCACACATTTCTGTGTACAGGCTACTACCACCATAATGGGTATGCAAAGCAAAAATAAGGAGAAACTAGAGCACACAGGACAAAACCGCGCAGAGTGACAGGAGGCCACAGCTAGCAGACAGCACAGCACATGCCCAATCCTGCTCTACCTGGGAAGCCCGTGAGAGCGCATGCCTGCACTCCTCTCATCACTCTCCTTTGTTAGTAGAGTTCCTGCATTTAAGGCAACCGAGGAGTTGCTTCTTCTATGAAATGCTAGGGTGCTGTCAGAGCCTGCTTTGCATGAACAGTGGACTTGAGGTGAGCCGGTGAGCAGTGAGAACCTGAAGTCTCCGCTCAGTGTCAGCTACACCTTAGGTGTGGCCTCAGTTACATCAGCACTGAGCTCCCCATCACAATCAGCACAGCTCAGACCATCTGATAGTCCATGAATCACAAGTTTGAGAATCGACAGAGTTGAAAGTTAGGTTCCCATGCTGTTTCTTGCCCCATCCTCTGTCTCTGTGCTAACTGTTTTCATTTCTTTAATACACATGCTTCCTCCAGTTCTTCCAGGTCCTAGGTTTCACACTAGCCTTCTGATTATGGCAAAGGGTAAGTGACAGGGAGTGGGTGACCAGGTAACTCCCCAGTAATATATACTCAAGTGCACAGAGCACAAATAGTTGCACTTGGATAAACATATACAATGCAGTGATAAAATGCAAATTAAAGCATTACTATTGTGAGAGAAACCCTGGATGAATTCAAGTATTTTGCTTCAGATGCAAACAGTAGTGATGAGCCACGTGAAGCTACATAACAGGAGGCTGATGCCAGCTCCTCTTTCCAGACAGCGCTGTTACCTTCATTGTTACTGTCGTCAGCACTGTCATAGGTCTCATACAGTCTCGGTATAGAAGCTAGTCCATCAACAAATGGGCAGACAAGGCCTAGAGAGCAGCAGTTCTTGCTCCATGGCAGGAGCAACCTCCTCTATACCAATACGGCAGTGATAACATAGAGCTGTGAAAACAGCAACACAAACTCCCAAAAAGCATGACCCCCACACATTCTCTAAGGGCTGAGTGCTTACAGTTTAGCACTACCTATGCAGAGAAGTGACTGAGCACTTTTTTATTTATTTTATTTTTTGATTTGGTTTGGCTTATAAGAAAAGGCTTGTGTAGCCCAGGATGGCCTTGAAGTCCCAATTGCTCGCCCTAGCCCAACTTCCCAGTGCTGGATTGCACATATGCAGCACCATGTTGCAACACATCCAAAAAGGGAAAACTGTCCATGTCATGTATTTACTTATTTGTTTGTATTTATAACACATCTATGAACAGTTTGCTATGTTATGTTATGCGAAGCACTGTGCAAGGTTCAAAGACCACAAAAAAGGTTACCCAAAAACTCTGCTAGGCAGTCTAAATGTTTCTGCATCCCCTTGCAAAGTACTAAATCATTAGCAGTGAACATGCACACATTTTAATCCAGAGACAGGGGACGGTAACAAGAGTGGTCTGGTGGATAAAAAAGAAAACCTGGCCAGCTATAGGTCCCTTAAATTCTCCATCTTAACTCCTTTGAAGCCCATATTTTTTTTAATAAGGATTAAAAAATGTATAAAATATGAGATGTAATAAATTAATAATACAACAGAAAAGGAAACAAGGGCAGCAGTTATAAAATAAAGCTGACACACTTCACAAATGTAATTTTTGGTGATTAAAATTTTGGCTTCCTAGGAGATAACTCAGTTACAGAAAACTTATTAGTTATTCTGCTCACTACTTATAAGACTTGCTCTAAACCAAACCTCCCCACCAAACAAAAACAGCTACTTTGAAGTACCATGATGCCAATTTTTTCTGCATAAAAATATTAGCATTGTGTTACCAAGGATTATCAAACACACTCTTAGAAATGACATAACTGTGTTCATAGGACTGTTTCTTAGAATATTATTTCACAAAAGTTGACAGCATGAACACACATACATTTTTCATGTTATCAGGAGAGAAATCCAACAGTGACATCAGGGCCTGATGAGAATCCTGCCTCCTGCCTGTACTGCAGAGGAGAGACATGCACACTGCACACAAGGACAGCTACCGGACAGCCTGCCCTGCACTGGAGGGCAGAAAGAGGCACACTGCACACAAGGACAGCTACCGGACAGCCTGCCCTGCACTGGAGGGCAGAAAGAGGCACAATGCACACAAGGACAGCATTATCTTTAGGAGTAACTTAAACTTCTCTTCACAATACAAGCAGGCAGGTACTTGAAGCCGCAAAGCTCCAATCCACACAATCTTATCTTGCAAAATTTCCAGGGTACACATGTCTAGACGGTCTGAAGTTGGCCTAGCAAGACTACAAGGATTTACAAGGGCCTCTCTCTCTCCATTACAGCTGAGGAGGTGAACTTTCACTAACTGTGCCAAGTAGAATCAAGAGTAAGATGTGTATGTTACCATCAACAGTTGTGGATCTGGTCAGAGAAGGCTGTAGTAACACTTCTTCGTCCTTGACTTGCTTCTTGAGTTCTTCAACAGATTCCAAGTGGAGCTGGAGAAACTCTGCTGTGGCTGTCGCTGCTGCTTCCTTGACAGGATCTATCATTCGCTTCAGAAGGACCAGATCATCCTTGTGCACCTTCAAGCAAAGTTTCTCCATTTCTCGGATATTGGAGCGCAGTTGCTATAAATGAAAAAGAGAAATATTACCAGTACCATCTCTCAACATAAGACCTATTTCTTCTCAGAATAATTTGCTATAATGGTCATGAATGGAAATGATTACAAATTGTCTAGTACAGGGGCATACAAATTTTCAATTTCCCATATCTCTCTCTTGGCTAGTTTAGAATCCATGCCCTTAAACTTTGAATTTATGTAATAACTTTGCCTTTATTACACGGGACTACTACATAATAAATGCTGTACAGCTAGCATTTATCTTGTGGGATAAATATGGAACTAAAATATTCTAAAGACCCAAATGATCTGTATTGCTAAAGCACAAATATATTCTGCAACTTCTAATAAAAGTATATAACTCTAAAATGAGTAAAGTAAAAGTGAAAATGAAACAAGAATCAACAGAGGAGAAGAAAACCACATGTAATATTGGCTAGAAACTTGGCTCAGCAAGTAAGAGCACTCCCTGCTCTTCTAGAGGACCCAGGTTTAATTCTCAGCACCCACATGACAGCTCACAACTGTCTAGACTCCAGTTCCAGGGGATCTGATGACCTCTTTGGCCTCCGTGGACAAACTTGGTATATAGACATACACCCTATATTAAAAAGAAAGTATATAATAGAACAAAAGATATAATCACCAATTATATTAAATAGTATTTAAACAAATATTAGTTATAAAACAAAGATTATTTTCAGATAGTATAAACAAAGATACATTTAAAACATAAAACAAAATGGTTCAAACTAAGAGTAAAAAAATAAAAAGAAAGAAAGAAAGAAAACACATAAACCCTTACATTCCTCTCCCAAGAACAACTTGCTACAGAAACATTACTGTCAGATAGAAACACTCTAGAAGTTAGCTCATCACCAGAAACAGAGAATCACTTTATAATAAGATTCTCTTCAGAAATATATAATTAACACAGACAGACAGACTACATATAATACAAAAACAGACAGAAGCACAACTGTTTTCCTCATACATGTGTGTTTGTATGTGTTTGCAAGTTTGGATGTGTGGGAGTGCATGTGTGTGCTGATGCATGTGGTGAGGCACAAATTTGATAAAGTGTCTTCCTGGCCTGTTCTTCACTTTATTTTTTGAGCTAGGGTCTCTGATTGAACTGGAGTATACTGATTCCAGCTATTCCAGCCAGATGGCTTGTTCTATGCATTCCCTGTCTCTGCCTTTCAAGTACTAGGGTGACAGATAGCCACCATGCCTGCCTGTCTTATGTGAGTTCTTGGTAACTGTGATGGTTTGAATGGTTGGCACAGGGAGTGGCACTATTAGGAGGTGTGGCTTTGTTGGAGGAAGTGTGTCACTGTGGGGTGGGCTTTGTGTCTCTCCTCCTAGTTGCCTAGGAGACAGTTAGTCTACTCCTGGATGCAGTTAGATTAAGATATAGAACTCTCAGCTCCTCCTGCACCATGCCTGCCTGGATGCTGCCATGCTTCCCACCTTGATGATAATGGACTAAATCCCTGAACCTGTAAGATAGCCCCAATTAAATGTCGTCCTTTATAAGAGTTGTCTTGGTCATGGTGTCTCTTCCTAGCCACAGAAACACTAAGACGGTATGTAAAGTTTGTTTCTAATGCTTAGGTGGTAAATGTTTTTATCCACTGAGCCATATCCCCAGCCCAAAAGTTTTAAAGAAATCCATGATCATAATGAAAGGTCTTAAAAGCTTCAGTAGCTAATAGAACAAGTGGCAAGGGTATGTTAGGTAAAGAGTGTTTGAACAATAAGATTAACATAGCTTGATTTAAGTTGCTTAGAACAGTAACCTAACAAACAAAATATGTATGTAAAAAGCAAACAATATTAAAGCAACTTTCACAAATTTCAAAAACATTGACATACACAGCATGTTTTCTGAGCATAAAGTTAAATTTGAAATCATTAATAGAAATACACACATACACAGTATATGTCTACAAGGAAAAAAGTTCTAAATAGTAAAGACAGTAGGTAAAGAAAGAAATCATAATGAAAATTAAAATCCTATAACCTGAATGCAAAGAAAAGTAACACATGTTAAAACTTACAGTGTTCTGTAAAACAAGAATTAGAAATATACTTCTCCAACTATACATATATTAGAGAACGTAGTGTGGGGTTTGGCTACTCTGCTTTATCCTCCCAGTGGGTCGCATTTCCAGCTACCACCCTGCAGATCTTCGGATCCTCAAATGAAAGACACACATACATACACATTAGTTTATTTCTGAAATGCCTTGGTACTTAAAGGTTGGACAGTTCTAATTCTCCCTCAGCTAGCATACTTTTCCCTCTAGTACTCCTGGCTCTACACCTTCTACATCTACCTTTAACTTTGCTGCCCTGTTACCTCCTGTGAGGCCCATTGGTCTATGTTGCCCAAGATGCTTCTGCGAAGCCCTTTGGGGGGGGGCACTTCCCAGCGCCAGTCCCCCACCCCAGTCACAGTGATTCTCCACTCTCCCTGTGTCCTTGTCTGTGTAAATCTAAGGGTACTGCCCCAACTCCCTTTGCCTAACAATTGGCCACTGGCATCTTAATTGATCAATCAAAAACCAACTAGGGACAAGGTTCTTCAGTGTTTGGAAATGCAAATTCCCAATTCAATAGAAACATTATTACCAATCCCCCAAAAGAAAGAGGGACTAGGCAGTCCCTAAGAGCTTCCACAACTTTCAGCTGGGTAAGCCCCTGTGGTGTTTGAATAATAATGGCCCATATATTTGAATGCTTAGACATCAGGGAATGGCACTACTTTCGAAGGATTAGGAGGTGGTGTGGCCTTGTTGGAGTAGGCATGGCCTTTTGTGAAGTAGTGTGTCACTTAAGATATGTTTTGAGGTTTCAAAAACCTAATGGAGGCCCAGTGGCTCTCTCTGTTCTGAGGATCAGGATGTATCAACTCTCAACCCCACCAGCACAAAGGCTGTCTGCATGCAGTATGCTTCCCACAATGATAAAAGACTAAACTTCTGAAAATGTAAGCAAACCCTGATTAAATGCCTTCTCTTATAAAAGTTGCTTTCATCATGGTGTTTCTTCACAGAAAAAGAACACTAAGACAGCTAGCTCCTTTCTTCTTCTTCTTCTTCTTCTTCTTCTTCTTCTTCTTCTTCTTCTTCTTCTTCTTCCTCCTCCTCCTCCTCCTCCTCCTCCTCTTCCTCCTTCTCCTCCCCTTCCTCTTCTTCTTCTTCTCTCCTTCTCCTTTTCTCCTCTCTTTCTCCTTCTCCTCCTTCTTCTTTCCTTTGGTCTTTTTCTTTCAGATGCTTGCCAAAGTCCACTCAGGCTTTTAAACTCCCTAACATTCTGCATGCCACTCACCCACGAGAAACTAACTGCTGACCCTCAGGCTGGCTTATCTTCTTCATACTAAGCCTCCCATTCATTCAGCTGACATAGAAAGCTTTCTCTGGGCTTTCCTGTTACATTCATTTGAAAAACAAGAAAAGAAAGGCCAGAAATTAGCAATCTAAATAAATATCCATCTCAAGAACCTATAAAATATAAAAACAAAGGCAAATATAAAAAGGAGAAAATTATAAAGATGTGAATAAACTTAAAGAGAGAAAAAGATACAAATACAACACAAGTTAAGAAAGCCAAAATTATTTTTGGAAAGAGTAATAAAATTGATAAACCTCACAAAAGTAGTTTTAAAAATAAATACAAATAACCAACATCATAATGAAGGGAGCACCACTACAATCTTAAAGAATTAAAATGGCAATAAGAAATTATGAAAAAACCTAGGCATAGTGGTTCGCCCTTTAATCCCAGCACTGGGGAAGCAGAGGCAGACAGATCTCTAAGCTCAAGTTCAGCCTGGTCTACAGAGTGAGTTCCAAGACAGTCAGGGCTACACTGAGAAACCCTATCTTCAAAACAAAACAAAACCTAAAACAAAACAAAATAACAACAAAAAAAGGAAATTGCGAATAAATTTATGCCAATAAATTAGAAGTTAGCTGAAATGGATAAATTTCCATAAAACTATAATTTATCAAACTGATAAAATCAAAACCTAAATGATCACTTAAGTATTAATACTGTTTTTTTTGGATGGGGTCTCAACCAGCCCAGAATAGCCTCAAATTTGCTATATAGCTGAGGCTGGACTTGAGTTTCTGGATCCTCCTGCATGCAGAGATTACAAGCACTGGACACTATACCCAACTATGATGAAATAAAATAAATGTATATATTTTTTGAAACTCTTCTACTTCTTCCTTTCCCATGTTAAATAACAGGCAATCAAACTACAGACCAAAACCAGCAGGAATTGTCTGTCACTGGTCAGTTTTACCAAATATTGTAAGAAATTACACAAATCCCTCATGGAAGTGGCCAAAGGCTAGTGCCTTGATATCAAAACTCAACAAGGAAAGAAAATATCCAGAGCAAACTCATGCACTCTCACAAACAAGGTACAGAATGTCTCAGGAAAAAAATGTGGCAATTTAAATCTGGCAGAACATAATACAGCAACAATTAGTGCTGAACAGACCCACTTCAAAACATGGATTAGAAGGCACTGTTACAGGCAACAGAAGTAAATTGCAAGCCAGTCACAAAGACTCAGTCTGCTTAGTTCAGTCTCTATAGTGTGCTCTGAGGCAGGCTGAATTAAATGCAGTCTGAAGGACTTATTTGGAGGCAAAGTTACACAGAGAAGACAATAAGTACCTGCCATGAATGTCAGGATGGAGATGCCTCTAGTGGAAGGGCAGTGGTATAACTGAGGCGAGGCCACGTAGCCTTCTAGAATGCTATCTACTGTGGTACGTGAGTATCTAAGTGTAATTGCTTAGGAGTATATTCATGCTCTAAGTATTCTACAGTACATAGACTAGTGTTCAGAGTTTAATGCTTTCAGAGAAGAGATTTACACTGATGGAAGCGAAAGCCAACCTAAAGACTGACATGGTTGAAGCCCCTGTGTAGGAATGGGATGCAGTGAGCTCTGAGTTAGTGACCTGTGAATCTTTCTCT